GCTGTGAAGGGCCAGCAGAGCCAGCACCAGAATAACTCACGCATTCTTGGGGATGCCTGTTGGAAGGGACATTTCCTATGGGCACCTGGGGGAGGAGGCATCTACCTGCCTGAAATCAGGGCTTTCTCTAGGTCCCTTGGTGGGGGTCAGGACGGTGAGCTAATAGGGTGAGCCCTTGGAGGCCTGGGACAGCTGTGTAGCTCTGCCTTCTTGCATTGTTGAGTGATTTTTTGTGGCCTGCAGCATCATAAACCACCAGGACTCAGATGCAGTTCTCAGCGCTGTGACAGCCAAGTTGAAGTCATACCCCTTTGATTTCCGTGGGGCAAAGATACTGTCTGGGGAAGAAGAAGGGGTGTTTGGCTGGGTCACAGCAAACTACCTCCTGGAGAACTTCATCAAGGTGAGCAGGAGAATATGGTGGCTAACTGGGCTGACTGCAGTGGTGAGGCCATCCCGGAGGTAACTGCATCCATGCCTTTGCTTTTGTCTTTGTTGCTCAGCGCGGCTGGCTTGGGGAATGGATCCAGCCCAAGAAGAAGACCTTGGGTGCCATGGACCTTGGGGGCGCTTCCACACAGATCACCTTTGAAACCAAGGACACCATCGAAAACCCCCAAAATGAGGTTATGCTGAAGCTGTACGGCCAGACGTACAAAGTGTACACCCACAGCTTCCTCTGCTACGGAAGAGACCAGGTCCTCAGGAGGCTGCTCTCGAAGCTCCTGCAGGTACTGGGATGTGTTTGTCCCAGGCAACTGGCTGGGTGCATGCTCACCTGGTCTTTATGACGGGTAGGAGGCCAGGCTCCCCCCGGCTCCTCTCAAACAGCTAGTTTTGGACCTGTGATTCCCTCCTACGTTCAGTTTCAGGGGCTGGGGTGGAGAGAGGATGAATGGCATTTCCAGGCCTCATATTTTCTCTGCAGTTTCTCCTCTGCTCTCCAGGACAGTCCTGCTGGACCCTTTGCACATGTGTTTCCCAGTAAACCCTTTGGCTTTGCCTTTAAGCATGGGGAGAACCTGGATCATAACGGGGCTGATACAGCCTCTGCATTGCTTCCCTGGCAGGCTGGGAACTACCAAACAACCATCTCCAATCCCTGCTGGCCCACTGGCTACCAGAAAAACCTGTCACTGAGCAGCATCTATGACACCCCCTGCACGGAGAAGGAGAAGCCCAGCATTCCCCTCAGCACTTCCTTCACCATGGTGGGCACCAGCAACGGGAACCTCTGCATTCTGTACGTCAACAAGCTCTTCAACTTCACCACCTGCCACTACTCCCACTGCTCCTTTGATGGCATTTTCCAGCCTGACATTTCAGGAAACTTCATCGTAAGTCCCTGCTGAGCACAGGCAGAAGCCTCTTGGCCCACCTGCCATCACATGGTAGCAAAGTCAGGGTCCCTGGCTCTGCAAGGACTGTCACTTGTGCCCACAGTGGCTCAAGCAGATCTGCGGCTATGCATAGTGGGAGGGTTGGTTTTTCTTGCTCCATCCTACAGATGTTTCTTGTCTTCCATCAGGCCTTCTCTGCCTTCTTCTACACAGTGGACTTCATCCAGACAGTGATGGGAAGACTTGTGCGCTTACCCAGTGACCTGAAGGATGCTGCAGATGCCATCTGTGCCAGCAGTTGGAGTGAGGTGGGATCCCTGGGCATGACAGGGAAGAAAAGGCTGGTTTGCATGGATCTGAGGGCAGCCCTTTTCTGAGCCTGAAGAGGGGCCTGGGCATCCTGGCATCCTCCCTGCCATGAGGTAGGAAGTGGGTGCATGACAGCCCCCACAGGAGACCAGGAGGGGCTCAGGTGGGTACGGGCCTGCTGCCTTGGCCAGCGAGCTACCATCTCCCAGAGCTTCAGGCAGCAGAAACAGGGCTCTCCTGCCAGCTCTACTCAGCCCTGGTGAGGCCACATTGCAGCAGGCCACTGTGCCCAGGGCTCCCCAGTACTCCCCAGAGATGCGGGTCTGCTAGAGCAAGGCTGGTGAAAAGCTACTAAGATGATTAAGGGACTAGAGCATCTTATATGAAGAAAGGCTAAGAGTTGTATGTGCTGAGCACGGGGAAGACTGTGAGGGCATTTTATCTGTGGGTACAAATAGGTGAAGGGAAAGTGTGAAGAGGATGGGGACAGACTCTTCTCAATGGTGCCCAGCAATAGGACGAGAGGCAACAGCCACAGATGCAAACACAGGAAGTTCCAGCTGAACATGAGGAAAATCTTGCTTCCTGTGAGGGTAACAGAGCACTGGGACAGATTGCCCAGAGAGATGGTGGCATCTCCATCCTTGGAGTCATTCAGAATCTTTCTGGACACAGTCTTGGACAATGTGCTTTAGGTGATCCTCCTTGAGCAGTGGGGTTGGACTTGATAATCTCCCGAGGTCCCTTCCAACCTCAACCATTCTGTGATTCTGCTGGTTTGACCCCTTCTCTCTCTACCTCCATGTATCTTACCCAGCTGCTCCAGAAAGCCCCCAAAATGGAGAAGAGGCTGCCAGATTACTGCGCTATCAGCATGTTCGTTTATTTGCTTACCACCAAAGGCTACAACTTCAACAACCACTCCTTCCCCAACATTGCCTTTCAGAAGAAGGTAAGGAGCACAGGAGAACAGCTCCATCCTGCACTACCCATTTGGAACCAGGCAAATAAAATAAAACAAAACAAAACATGGGAAAGAAGCTCCCACACCAAGAAAGGCCCAAGCAATGGTTCAGGGAAGATACAGGCAGGATGGGATCCCAGTTTTTGTGTGGTTATTTTTGGGAGACGGAAGAAAATGAGTTAGACTGCAGGGTGGGTGGTCATGATGTAAGGAATTTGAAGGTACACCATTCCCTCAAGATACCAGATATTTTGAACATACTTTGCTCAGGCTTGTTGGGAAGTTACTTTGGCAGAGGATCCCGCCTTTGCCAAGTCTTCTCATGTTTATGAATAAGGTCAGGACCAACATGAACAGAAAAGATACTGCTCTCATCAAACGGGCCCAGCTCAAGACACTGGCCTAGCAGGGGATGGCCACTGCCTCATCCCTGAGTTGACTGGGGCTGTAGGGGAGAGAAGGCGCAGGGTGCAGGTGACTCCCCAAACTCTCCCCCGTTGGGCTGGCAGTGATGTGGTCCCTGGGAGGCCCTTGAGGCCCATGGATGTTAGCTGACCAGGGGAGTGACCATGCCATGCTGTTTCTGCAGGCAGGAGAAACCTCCATCGGCTGGGCCCTGGGCTACATGCTGAACCTCACCAATATGATTCCAGCAGAGGAGCCAGCTTCCCACAAAAGCTTATTGTACAACAACTGGGTCATCCTCATCCTGCTCTTTGTATTCACCACCCTGACGGCATTGGTGACTGCTGTTTGCCTGCTCCGGCGCAGCAAATCCAGCACAATCTAACCTCAGAGACAGGACAGGCTTTGCTTGCAGGACTGAGCACCATCCCTCTTGCTGTGTCTCCACAGCTTAAATATTTGGGATGCAGTCAGTGCTTGAAGATATCCTCCTCTGACACTTGATGTCATCTGTTACAGAAGGAAAACTGTCCCTTTTTGTCTTCCCCTTGCTTTCAAATTGCAGAAAGGAGAGGACAGAACAGGACTGCCGATCCTGCAGAGCCGCAGGAGGAGAACATCTTAAGGTTTTCCCAGTGCTACTCAGGGATAGATCCCAGAGCAAGACTGAGTCTTCGAAAATCAGATGTGGGGCATCCCTCTGCCACCTGATTTGGGCTGGACTGAGCTAACAGAGTCCACACAACAGCAGGAAGATCTTATTCTCATGTGGGTGGGTAGGGAACGCTACATGCACTAGTCCTTATAGCTGACATCACTAACCCATCCCTGGAGCACCAGGCAAGTCCTGTGAGCGAGTATCCAACGGGCTCTTTTCCTGGTTGATGCACAAACCCCGGTAACCTTGCTGAGGGCCACACTGTGGGCCTGGGCTTCTATCTGCCTCTGCACAGAGGCTTCAGGTCATAAACTGGGAGCAGGCAGCTTCCCAGCTCCCCGTTCAGCAACCAGACAGTCTTCCTCATTCCGATGTTCCCTAACCCATTCTCCCATGTGTCACAGCCAGTCTGCACCCCTGTCACAGGACAGAGCATAAAAAGTTGCTCCCTGCAGAAGAAAGGCTCTTCAGGTAGGCCGGTTCGTGGCCCAGCCAGCCCAGAGACAGCAGACTAGCTGCACGAGCAGGGCTTTGGGTTACTTTAGGATTTAAACCCTGTATCACCAGCCCAGCCAGCTAGCTGGGAGGATGTGCCTTCACTTCCAAATGAGTAAAAGCAGGGATACCCAAATGTGCAAAGGGTTGGGGGTGTTTTTTGTTGTTTTTGTTTTTTATTAATCAGAAATAAATCTTTGTAACCATCCCTAAGGTTTTGTGACTGTGTCAAAGCAACAGACAGACCCAGCCTCACCACCTGCCAGCTTGTGAGGTCTGCTCTGACATAGCTGCTCTTTGAGCTGGGCCTGAAGGCCTCAATCTCTTGTTTTGCTACTAAAATCTCTTGTTTTTGCCACTTTGTTCACCATCTCCAGAGACCCCTGCTCCTCAGTGCCCCATAGAGTAGCATGGGAAAATCTCACGTGCTCTTCTTAATCCCACTCCAGCCTAGATGCTCATTCTAACCCTCTTGCTCAACTCAAGCCCAATGCTGAGATGCTGTCAAGGTTATGTATGTTCTACAAGCCTTGAGAACTGCCCAAAATGGAAAGAGGGAGGTTTAAAACCCTGGTCTACCTCCACATGGAAGCAGAAGAGAGTATTTCAGCCAAGCATGGTTGACAAGTTCATGTTTTCCATGCACTAGAGATGCAGTCACCCCAAACACGTGAGTCAGCAGCACCCAAGTTATAGCCTGTCCCTCGCATTCACTCTTTTATTCATGACTACAGCGTTTCACACAAAGAAAATCACTTAAGGAACCACTGGTCTGCAGGGAAACCTAAATGGAGCAGAACAACAACCCAAAGGGCTTCAGCAACTTGTTAGCACAGTCACGAGCTTGGCAGTTCACAGAACAAACATGGGATTTATTCAATGAGAGGAAAACCATGTGGGGCCAGTCCTAACTTGTCAATCCTGCCTGGAAACAGGGCCTTCCACCTCACCACCTTCTTCCACATGCTCCAGTACAGTTTTAATGAGCTCTGTGGTTTCTGGCTTCCCTCCCTGCTCTTACAGACAGCACAAACTCCATTCCCAATGCTTGCTCCCTTACTGCGCTCTATTCTTGCTCTAACTGAGCTCCTGTCCTGCTGTGCCTTCATCAGCTCACCCTTTTCTTTGCTTCTAGCCATTCCAAGGTTGCTCCATCACCTTTCTGTATAGGGGGATATGTGATTCCAGTTCAAATGCTGGTCTGAACCCCTTAAACCACTTTCCTTTCCAGGCCTCTCCTCGCCCCAGCGTGGGAGCTCCCTCGTGTGGCTACAATCAGGGACTGTCCCTGGCTCCCACAAGCCAACACCAGAACAAAAGGCAGCATTTCTGGTCTCCCTTTGAAGCTGAACAGCTGCTTTCTGTTGTGAGAAAGTATTTCTTGCCCTTCAAAATGCAGGCTGGATTTCCCTGTCTAAGAAGTGCAGCTGCAGTTGGATCAGAGCTGGACATCCACCAAGAGCAGCCAGTTGGCTTTAGTCGTGGCTTGGGGTTTGTTAATAGGAATAAATTGAGTAGGAAAATATTCATCTTCCCACATCTCTGGATGTTTGAGATTCAGATCGGGATCGAGAGGCTGAGATTCTGCCTGGGTGATGTGTGCTGAAATCGAGGAAGGGCTCAGGCCATCTCCATTCGGCAGATAAGAGAGGGCCTTGCTGTTGTGGAGGGCAGAGAAGACTCTGAGGGAATGAACTCAGTGAACAGCTCTGGTCCCTTGCAGAATAGTCCAAACCCACCCATGTCCAGAGGCATTTCACAGGCTGGTGCTCTCCATTAAGCCTCTGGTCTGACAGCCTTAGAGCGACTGTATCTTTCTGCTCCAACGTTTATTGCAGTGGCTGCCTTAAAACACCATTTCCAACCCACATCCCAGCATGTACCGTCTCATCTCAAGCTTTCACTTCATCCACAGAGTGCACATTCAGCTCCGGACTTTTATTGTGTTCCCCATGCACAATGCTCACACAAAGGCCACCCCCACGTGAGCACCACGTGTGGCCACCTCGTCCCTATGACACTCTCACTGCACCCTAACTCCTGGGGGCAGCTGTGCAGACAGGAAGGGGTGAGGAGAGCTGCCACAAGGCCCAGTGCTGCCTGCTCCGCTCGCTACTCCACAACATCCCCATACTTGTTCCTCCTCAGTGGTGGTGCCACAGTCTCTCTGTCCTCTGGGCTGGGCAGGTTTTCTGCAACAGACAAGAAGGAATAAGCTCCTTGGATCCCCAAACTACCCTCTTGCATTGGCCAGGGGTGGGTAGAGAACTTCAGGGCCTTGGTGAAGCATTTAAAGCATTGCACTTTAACCCAGACTGGGCAGCTCAAAGCACACAGCAGAAAGAGCAGCAGACAGTTACAGAAAGAGCCGTGTTAGCATCCCCACCAGCTCTGCCTTCCCCAGCATTAAAGTGGACAGGTCACTCCATCCTCTGCCCTCCTCTTCCTCTTTGCTTCATGTTGGTTCTTGCGAGCTCACGCACACAGGGCCAGGCCAGAGAGATGTGAGGATGTACCCGATACCACCCTGCTCAGACACCTGCAGAGCAGGCAATGGGCCCAGAGCACTCAGAGAGACCTGAGAGCAGCAGGACTGTGGGCTCCCTGGCTGCCCTAACACTGCAGCTGCCCGGAGGACTTCTCCATTCGCAAAACGGCACATCCCTTGGCTGCAGGGTGCCAGCATAGGATTCACACAGGGATTTGGGCAAAGACCAGGACCTGGCTGTTGGTTAAGAGCCAGGGCAGCAAGGTGTTACAGCAAGGAAGAAAGAGGCATAAGCAGCACAGGGAAAGCAGCGGGAAGAGATGTGAAAAGGACCTGGGGGCCGAGACACCCCATCGTCCAGGGCACGCTCCTGCAGGGACTTGCCAGTCTCCAGGAAAACCCAGAAGTCGGTGCATTTCTGTGTCTCAGCTCTGGTTACAACGTAGCTGGCGACGGATCCTGCAACTGAGGAAGAGGAGAGGCGCCCAACTTCCCCACGGCAAAGCCCTTTGCTGCATGGGGTAGCGGGGAAAGAAAGCGGCCACCAGCACGCGGGCCACTGCAACCGCCTGCAAGCGGCTCCGAGGCTGGGAGCGCGGGAGAACGGGCCAGGGAAATAACCACCCCGGGGGAAGGGAAATAACTACCCCAGGGAAAGGGGAAAATAAACATCCCAGGGGAAGGGGAAATAACCCCCCCGGGGAAGGGGAAAACAAACTCCTCAGAGGAAGGGGAAATAACCCTTCAGGGGGACAGGAAAATAAACACCACAGCGGAAGGGGAAATAAATACCCAGCAGGGATGGGAAAATAAACACCCTGGGGGAAGGGGAAATAAACACCCCAGTCCCAGGGGAAGGGGAAATCAAACACCCCGGGTGAGGGGGAAATAACCACCTTGGGGGAACGGGAAAATAACCACCCTGGGGGAAGGGGAAATAACTTATCCAGGGGAAGGGGAAAATAAACATCCCAGGGGAAGGGGAAAATAAACATCCCAGGGGAAGGGGAAATAACCACCCCACGTGAGGGGGAAATCACCCTTCAGGGGGACAGGAAAATAACCACCCCAAAGGAAGGGGAAATAAACACCCCGGGGGGACGGGAAAATAATCAACCCTGGGGAATGAGAAATAACCCCCGTGGGGAAAGGAGAAAATAACCCCCCGGGGGAAGGGCAATGACCCCCGGGCAGGCG